ATAATGAAAACTGCCTCAGAGCTTAAGAGGCTTTTACTTGATGAGTTTAGTAGTAATATTTCCCTTGATTCATTTATTTCTTTTGATGTCTTTTTGCCAGGTACATTATTTATTTGCTGTGAATTTACACATCTAGCAGAAGTGGAATTCACATATTTGCACAGAGTACTGAGAGATGCTGTAAAGCAAACAAAAACCTTCCTGGGGGAATTTTAAGAATGCTGTATATTTTTTAAATGCAAGTATCTGCTTGTTCCCAGTTTATGCCTTCTGCCCTGTGACTATTATTTTCTGTCTTTTTAAAGGTTTTAAGTATGACCTTTTTCTTATAAATTTGGTTTGGTTTCTGCATAATGTCAGGTGGTTAATAACAAGTAAACACTGCATATCAGTCATAGGAAAGTTGCTAGAAAATTCACTTTTCCATTCTCCATGTGGCAGCCTTAAATGCCGTTACAGCTTACTCCATGGTTTGCCTTTTTCTGGTAATTGTCAAATTCAATGATGCATTATTTCTTTTTCTGCTTATTTATTTTTCATCTGTGAGGAAGCTACCTTATACTTACATTCAAAATGAAACTTAATTTTCAAAATAATAAGTTTCCAACTATTTAAAACAATTTGTTTTTAACATTTATTTGTATTTTGAGAGAGAGCATGAGTCGGGGCAGGGGGCAGAGACAGAGGGAGATACAGAATCTGAAGCAGGCTCCAGGCTCTGAGCTGTCAGCACAGAGGCTGACATGGGGCTTGAACCCACAAACTGTGAGATTATGACCCGAGCTGAAGTTGAATGCTTAACCGACTGAGCCACCCAGACGCCTCAGCAAATATATTTTTTTTAAATAGACAAAAGGCTGGAGACAGTTTGTAAGTGCAGAAATACTTGGGACTCTAGTTCTCTGAAGCTGCCCCCCCCCCCCCCCCCCCGCCCCCCATGACTCCAGTAGTTTCAAGAAAATATAGCCAGTGTGATAAGGGAGAGAATGCAATCAACACACGCCAGGCACGGTGCATAGCTGTTAGTGCACATTATAGAACGTATTGTTCCCATATGACATTGGAGGAAACTAGGCTTCAGAGAATTTATATATGTTTTCAAGGTTGTACTCCCAGTAACTGACAAAGTGGGGATTGACTTCTGAGTGTGCTACCATTGCTCTAATTTTTCTTGGGAAAGATAACCTGTGTGTGTGTGTGTGTGTGTGTGTGTGTGTGTGTGTGTGTGTATGAAAGCCTTAGCTTGGTGTCTGTCACATGGTAGCTTCTTTTTAAAAAAATTTTTTTTAATGCTTATTTATTTTTGAGAAAGAGGGAGAAAGAGAGCACGAGTGGGGGAGGAGCAGAGAGCCAGGGAGACCCAGAAACTGAAGCAGGCTCCACTCTCCGAGCTGTCAGCACGGAGCACAACTGGGGCTCAAACTCACAAGCTGTGAGATAATGACCTGAACCGAAGTGGGAGGCTTGACCGAATGAGCCACCTAGGTGCTCCACATGGTACATTCTTAATACAGATTCTCCTCTTTTTTCTGAACTTCTCTGCCTATCACTGAAACAATAAAAAAAAAAAAAATCATACACACACAAAGGGGATTGATTAACTGCTATTTCCTCACTTCTGGGAAGGGGCAACTTGATTAAAAGAAAGGAAATGTGTTAACTACCCCTATGCTGCTTTATTCCTTTTTGGCTAAGCGTCAGGAAACCATTCACAGAGAGCTTTTCTTACTGTTTTAACTCTTGTTATTGGTGTTACAGTTGAGACACAATGTTACTGTAATTTCAGGTATACAACATAGTGATTCAGCAACTCTGTACATTAGGCTGTGCTCATCGTAAGTGCAGCTACCATCTGTCACCATATAAAATTGTTACAATATTATTGACTATATTCCCTATGCTGTACTTTTCATCCCCACGACTTTGTTTATAACTGGAAGTTGGTACCTCTTAATCCCTTTCACCTACTTGCCCATTCCCCACAGAGAGTTTTTCTATTTTGAATATAAAGTGGAACCAACAGAGAGCTGTAGAAGCTACCAGCCATTTGACCCCTTACTAATAAGGATTGTTAAAGGTTTGTTTGAAGATTTTTTTTAAATAAGTAAGCATTTCTGGAGCCTAGTTTTGCATATAAGGCCAGGAGTCTCCTGATGCAAAGAAAGAAGCAAGGGGGAGTTCTGACAAGTTTTGTATAGCAAGTTTTGGAGTCTTATCAGGGCCCTTGGGCATATGCGAATAGTCCATGGCGTGCCCTTCATATATGCTAGGTTGTGAATGCTCCTTCAGACCCCCAGAGTTGTGTAGCACAGTGCCCTTGAATCCAGTAGATGGATAATTTCTTTTATTTTTCATTTATTTTTTATTTTTGTAATGTTTACTTATTTTTGAGAGAGATAGAGAGTGTGGGGGCGGGGAGGGATGGAGTGGGGGCAGGCAGAGGATCCTATGTGGGCTCTGCACTGACAGCAGAAAGCCTAATGTGGGGCTCAAACTCATGAACCATGAGATCATGAGACCATGACTTAAGCTGAAGTTGGACGCTTAACCAACTGAGCCACCCAGGTGCCCCCAAGAGATGGATGATATCTTTGAAGAGATCATTTTCTACTTGTATGAGTCTTTGAGTCTCTTTAAAATCTCATCTGTATGTTTTACCATTTAAACAAATATTTAGCAAATACAGTGGCTTCTCAATTGATGGCTCCTCTGGAAATTAAGGTTGTCCTAATGAAGACCAGTTTTTTTTGTGAGGTAGGAGGCATCTGAAGGCCAGAGTCCCAAGGGGACAGTCATTCTCAGCAGGTGGCTGAGGGAACAGCCTTAACAGCCTTTGAACACAAGAGTCATCATTTGCTCTGGTCATGTGAATCCTTGCTGCCACTAGGTGGCAGGACAGGCAAGAATTCTAGGCAGTCCTATAAGGTTAGGAGGCCAGGTCAGCCATTCTTGTGGAGGTGGGAGAGGGTATAGGCAGTCAGGGTGCTACGGGAAAAGAATTTGCACCCTAGAGTTTGTTTTTCTGCTATTTATTTAAATTATGTCCTTATGTTAATTCTGATAAAGTTTCTGGTGATGGAATTTGTTACTTAGAATGTGTCCTCTTAAAGGCATGAATCATTAAAATCTTAGCTATCAGAAACTGCAAAGTTCTGCCATACAAATAGAGGTCCATAGAAATTGGCTTTCCCAACATCTTAGAGCAAGTCACTGGCTGTTCTTGCTCTTTGAGTTCCAGTTCTGTGCCAATTAAGCTATTGTTTTGAGTGCAGTCTATTTAAGGAGAAAACTAAGAGACTGAAGGATGTTCTAAATTGTACCTTTATCCATAATCCTGAATGTGGACCCTATTCTGCCTAAATCAGGCACTGCTGGTCAAGAGGTGTAATGTCCAACCTTGTCAGTCCTGTGACTGCAAGAAAATGACCTTCATTAGGTTATGAATTAAAATGAAGAACTATGAAATCTAGCTACCACATTGTGATACTTACAGGATTAGGTGGATTAAAGGGGGAATTCTAGAGGTGTGCCTGGCATATAATCTAGCACCATGACTGGAATTAATAAAATATTTTTTTCCTTTGTACCTGTCCTCTCCCTACTGATTCGTTCATATATGTGTCTTGACTTGGAGATATATCAGTTATTTGGGCATTTTAATGATCATTTGGACTGAAGTTCAGTAGGAGGAAAAACTTTCTTTTTAATAGTCAAGGCTTTTATTTTTAAATTTCTTTTTAAGTTTATTTATTTATTTTGAGACAGAGAGAGAGAAAGGGAGGCAGGGGGAGGGGCAGAGAGAGGGAGAAAGAGAATCCTAAGCAGGCACTGCAGTCCAACACAGGGCTCAGTCTCACAAATTGTGAAATCATGACCTGGGTTGAGATCAAGAGTCGGATGCTTAACCGACTGAGCCACCCACGTGCCCCAACAGTCCAGCCTTTTAAACTGTCTTTTATAATAGTAATGACCTTTTAAAAAGCAGTGTTATTGTCAGTTACCTGTTTTCAAAAGGAAAGCAGTTAGTAACTGTGCTTTTGAATAGCAAACTTTTTAACCACAACCCAGTACAACGCTATCTGTGCATGTGTGAGCATGTGTGTATCTGGGATAAAACTTAGCCTTTCTGTGTGCTTACATACTCTATTTTCTGCTGGGCTTGCTAATGGGATGAAACCACATTTTGAAAAATCTTACGCCTTAGAGAAAAAGATGATAAGAAAACATTCTTTTTTGGCAGATTGCAAACATCCAGGGCCAAATTTAAAATGAGAAGGTGTTAGAAGGTGGAGGAGAGATAGTGAAGTATCTCTCAAACAGACAGGGCACTTGGAGACCAGGAAACAAAGAAAGACACTGCGTATCTTTTACAGAGTTGTATTCAGGGTACCTTACTGACACGGGGGGAGATAGGGCAAGGACAATCCACAGCAGCTTCAGAGTTATTCTCAGCAAAATCCAGACCTTCGTCCACAGACTTTATGAAGCGAGGGGACATGCAGAAGCGCACTGTAGTGAGACCAAAAGTTGACACGCGCCTCAAAGGGCTTGCACATACCCTTTAAATCTTGTGGCACCTCCTGTGCGTCAGGAAAGAAGGAAGTCTGTGTTATCTTCAACAGATTCCTGGGAAGCCAAAATAAGCCTAAACTCATTCTGGCCTTGGCAGGTATCCCTAAGGTATGTATGTCAATGTCCAAGGGACCTGGGACACGTAGCCCGAAGAGAGGTCATTGAGCAAACATGAACAAGATGGAGGGCCAAAGATGGAGTCAGTATTGTGAGCACTCCTACAGATTGTACCTCTTGAAATATGTGAGTTTGGGTCCTAGATCTTGGTGAGGCAGATGGGGCATTGACATTTCCTTTTTCTTTTTCTGTTTTTTTTGTTTGTTTTGTTTTGTTTTGTTTTTAGAGGGAGAGAACATTAGTTGGGGAGAGGGGCAGAGGGAAAGAGAGAGAGGATCTTAAGCAGGTTTCACACTCAGCATGGAGCCTGATACAAGGCTCGATCCCATGACCCTGGTATCATGACCTGACCCAAAATCAAGAGTCAGGTGCTCAACCAACTGAACCACTTAGGTGCCCCAGGCATTGTCATTTTTATCAGCTCTCCCTATACTTACTTGTGCCAGGGCTATATTTAAGGCTGTGAGAGCAGAAAGAAAATGCAACATAGGTACTGTGAATTGCAACTAACAAGTGTTGCTAAAACTTTTACTCACCCTGTATTTTTTCTGTGGGTAGGTTTTAAACTTACTTCTTGTAGTTCTTGGATCAGTTCTTGTGTTAACTCCCATCAGTTAGCAAATCCACTTAGACAGCTTTGGAAATCCAGGCGCGAGTGAAACCGACTGCCTTCTCACTGCTGGAGGAGTAGGGCAGCAGTGTTGACTGCTGCTGCCTTGCTCATAACTTGGTGTGTGTGACCTCACTTGCTCCTCATAACCCTGCGAGAGAAAAGGTAAAATTGTCTTCTTCGTTCAATAAGACCACCAGTACCAAAAAGCAAACAAGCAAACGAGACCCAGGAATCTAAAATGTTAGCTAGCTTGCTCAAAGTCACAGAGCTAGCAGAGGAGGGTAAAAACGTCAATTCGGGTCTGCCTTATTGTGAGAAATCTTCCTAACAAAGCCTTTTACAATATGAAATAAAAAGCATCCGTGTCAGAAGTATTCTTATTGTGGATTAAATACTAATAAGATGGTAAGATGCCTTCATTTGGAGAAACATTGATGCCGTCCCCACACACGATTTTTCCCCCTCTGTGCAGCAGACTTGGAAGCCTGAGTTAAATGCCTGTTTTTTATGGTTTGTCTTGACTGTTTTTTTGTTTTGCTTTGTTTTTTGTTTTTCTGAAAAACCTGTGAAGTAGTGGGGGAGGGGGTTGGTGGTGGTATCATTATTGTCAATACTGAGGTCTGAAAAGGTTGTGTGAGAATTTAAATGAAAGCTCAGATATTCTGACCACCTGCCCACGTCTTCACAGAAGCATTAATCCACATGGGCAGAGTAATTGAATGTGTTGGGTAGAGGCCCAAGGTCAAAATGGCAGAAGAATAGGATCACGCAGTGTATTTGCCGTTTGAGTTGAGAATGTAGCCATATCAATACTGTGTTTGGTCCGGGAACTCTCTTGCGCTGTTGGTGGGAATGCAAATTGGTGCAGCCACTCTGGAAAACAGTGTGGAGGTTCCTCAAAAAATTAAAAATAGACCTACCCTATGACCCAGCAGTAGCACTGCTAGGAATTTACCCAAGGGATACAGGAGTCCTGATGCATAGGGGCACTTGTACCCCAATGTTTATAGCAGTACTCTCAACAATAGCCAAATTATGGAAAGAGCCTAAATGTCCATCAACTGATGAGTGGATAAAGAAATTGTGGTTTATATACACAATGGAGTACTACGTGGCAATGAGAAAGAATGAAATATGGCCCTTTGTAGCAACGTGGATGGAACTGGAGAGTGTTATGCTAAGTGAAATAAGCCATACAGAGAAGGACAGATACCATATGTTTTCACTCTTATGGGGATCCTGAGAAACTTAACAGAAACCCATGGGGGAGGGGAAGGAAAAAAAAAGAGGTTAGAGTGGGAGAGAGCCAAAGCATAAGAGACTCTTAAAAACTGAGAACAAACTGAGGATTGATGGGGGGTGGGAGGGCGGGGAGGGTAGGTGATGGGTATTGAAGAAGACATCTTTTGGGATGAGCACTGGGTGTTGTATGGAAACCAATTTGACAATAAACTTCATATGCTGAAAAAAAATAAAAAATAAAAATAAAAAAATACTGTGGTCAACATTCTATAAAGTGACCTCATAAGGGACAAAATTAAGTGCTGTACTGACTGGCTATTTCATGTAGCCAATAACTAGCCAGCTCAACAGGTAGAAATGTTATCTGAGTTGTGATTTTTCCTTTCTGTGTCCAGTTTCTTTGAAGTACTTATTGACATGCAGTGCAGTAAACCATGCTAGGTGAATAAACAGTGGATTCATCAGCGGCTTTTAAATGTATTTGGCCTCATCCAGCTGAAATTTAAGAGTTTACGAATGATTAAAGAAAAAGGATAAGTGTAAGTAGGTCATTTGTACCATAATCGTAGAAAGGCTGATTAAATTATAAACAATAAGGAGAGTGGATAAAGTTTACTAAGAGTTTCCTATGTGTCAGACAGTGTTCAAAGTGTTTTACCCATTTTAGCTTAGGAAATCTCCTTAAAATCCCGTTGAAAGTCAATACTACTCTAGTTTTTACAGATGCGGAAATCAAGCCACTAATAGCTTAATAAACTAATAGCTTCATAGACCTGAGGGTCATAGTTTGATAAATAGTAGAGCAAGCATAACCTGACTCCAGATCTTATGCTTATGAATAGCCTCCGTGTATAACAGAAATTAAACTAAGTTAATAGAAAATGGGTCCTAATTGTAATTTTGTTGTTAATTTATAATCTGAACTTATACAAGTCACTTCATCTCTTTCTACCTCTGTGTCGTCATCTGTGAAGTGTGTATAATACCTATTCTGTCAACAAGTTCAATTTGTGATAGGGATCAAAAGCTGGAGTGCTAAAGTGACCCTAGGGCAAGATATGTTGTGGAAATGAGAGATGATGAGGAAGAGGTAAAGACGATAGAAAGTGCTAGAAAGTATATGTTTTAAAAGCTTATATGCAAGAAATATTTCACAATGTTGGTTTGGTGGCAGAAAAGTAAGTGCCAACATGGCAACTGTCAGGGTAGGCTGTGGGTACCATCTTCATGGGAAGATGGGTGGGAGGGGCCAGAAGTAGAGCCTGGAGAAGTAGCTCTGTGAGTGGATGTACAGCGATGCCCTGTGGGTGGCGCTGCTCAGTGATGGCAGGCCACATTGGACAAGATGAGAGAAGGCTGATGTGGTGGGGGAAGTTAGGATGAAGCATAACCACACGTGGTATGTATGTATGTATATATGTGCCCCTTCAGCATTTTTGTATCCTTCGGATACAACATCCCTAGTAGGGCAATTGCTGGGTCTTAGGGTAGCTCTAGTTTTAATTTTTTGAGGAACCTCCATACCGTTTTCCAGAGTGGCTGCACCAGTTTGCATTCCCACCAACAGTGTAAAAGGGTTCCCCTTTCTCCACATCTTCACCAACATCTGTTCTTTCCTGAGTTGTTAATTCTAACCATTCTGAGAGATGTGAGGTGGTATCTCATTGTGGTGTTGATTGGCAGTATTCACTGATTTATTATTTTTTTTTTTTAATTTTTTTTTTCAACGTTTATTTATTTTTGGGACAGAGAGAGACAGAGCATGAACGGGGGAGGGGCAGAGAGAGAGGGAGACACAGAATCGGAAACAGGCTCCAGGCTCCGAGCCATCAGCCCAGAGCCTGACGCGGGGCTCGAACTCACGGACCGCGAGATCGTGACCTGGCTGAAGTCGGACGCTTAACCGACTGCGCCACCCAGGCGCCCCAGTATTCACTGATTTAAATGTTAATCTTATCCAAAAACACCCTCCAAGTGGACACATAGAATTAACCATCACAACCCTCTGCAGGATGTGCTGTAAGCAAGGCCTTCTTAGGACATTAGAGCCTTTACCATCCCATTCTCAGAGTGTGTTTTAAATGCCAGCATTTTTTTGTTCAATGTATTAGGTAGAAATCCTATAACCTGCTTGAGTTAAATTAATGGATAAGAAGGTACTTTTAAAATTGTGTAACAGTCTACAAATGCAAGGAATTTAGGGAAGTGGTGAGTGGAAAGAGTATGGGTAGAGTTTAGTATAAATGGGTGGATTGCCACCTGTCAGGAGGAGTACAGTTTGGCAAGAGAACAATCAACCCTTGTTTTTGTGACCAGACACTTTACTGCACACAGTGCAGGGAGGAGGGGCCTTCTTAGAACCTTCTCTTAGATCTGCAGGAAAATCCTATTTTTGTTCTGGCGGGGAATGGCTTGGGTGGGGCCTTTCGAACTCTGGTGCTGCTCCCTAACCATTGAGTTCTTACCTACTGTTCCTGCTGTTGGCTCTCCGAGAGATCTCCTTGTAGTGCTGTGAACCCGTGGGTTGAGGAACTGGGTAGATAAATATAACTTGTTTCTATAGTAGCTGTCTCTTGAGCCATATTGTCTCATAAACTTGGGGGGAATCTAATTAATTAGAAGGGATGATTATGTTACTAATATACTTACAGATGGAGTAACCCCAATTTTAATTCTTCAAGTCAGAATAGAACAGCATTTTCACATTGTTGCTCAATAAATGTTTGGAAACCATTATTCTGTTTTTGTAATTCATCTCTTTTCTGTCTCACCTCTGATGTTCCCCACAACTCATATTTGAGTGCCTGTGATAGGAAGGATGCTGTATTTTCTTTTTTTTTTTAGGAGTAATGAAATAGAATTTAGATTTCCTTGAGGAAGTTTTAAATGAGATGGATCTTAGTATCACTATGGAAATAAAGTTTTTATTAATAAAGTAAATATTACATACTGTCAAATACCTTTTAGAGTATGTTTTTATAACTGAAATCTTTCTACAGAGTAAGCTTTTCTTTAGTCTGACTTGCAGACTGGTGGTTTTATTTCCAGTGAACTCTTACAACAAAATGTTCATTAATTAAAAATAGCTGCCCCATACAGGAAACAGCTCATATAGCAGCTTCTGACACTGTTCTAAAAACAGACTTGAGCTGCTCTGAGTGCTAAAGAAGAATGAACGCTGAAAACCTTGTGAACGAATTCAGGTAAAAGCATGATATTTTTAAAGAAGGATCTGTGGTCTTTACATTTATGTTTTTCTGTTTATAAGACTCATGTGCTTATTATTAAAAAACCAAGTATTATAGCAATGTATTCTGTAGAAACTGAAATTCCCACCCAAATTGTGGTGTCCATGGAATCTGGTGGTTTTTACCAGATTTTTTTTCTATGCATCTACAGAGTATATGCTTTTTTTTTTTTTTTAATGTTTGTTTATTTTTGACAAAGAGCACATGTGTGAGCACGGGAGAGGCAGAGAGAGAGGAAGACACAGAATCCAAAGCAGGCTCCAGGCTCTGAGCTGTCAGCACAGAGCCCGATGCAAGGTTTGAACTCATGAGCTATCAGATCATGACCTGAGCCAAAGTCAGACACTTAACCAACTGAGCCACCCAGGCACCCCAAGTATATACTTATTTTTAAAGTGGACTTATATGGGGATGCCTTGGTGGCTCAGTCAGTTGAGTGTCCAGCTTCAGCTCAGGTCATGATCTTGCTGTTTCCAAGTTGAAGCCCCGTGTTGGTCTCTGTGTTGACAGCTCAGAGCCTGGAGCCTGTTTCAGATTCTGCGTCTGCTTCTCTCTCTGCCTCTCCCCGACTTGCACGCTGTCTGTCTGTCTCTCTCTCTCTCTCAAAAATAAATAAACATTTTTTAAAAATGGGATTGTATGTTCTTTAAACTTGGTTTTTTCATATTTATGTATTAGAAATTTTCCACATCAAATTTTCAAAGCCCTCTTCCTTTATTATTTCTTTTTAAAAACATTTAAAAAAATTTTTTTTTCAACGTTTATTTATTTTTGGGACAGAGAGAGAGCATGAATGGGCGAGGGGCAGAGAGAGAGGGAGACACAGAACCGGAAACAGGCTCCAGGCTCTGAGCCATCAGCCCAGAGCCCGACGCGGGGCTCGAACTCACGGACCGCGAGATCGTGACCTGGCTGAAGTCGGACGCTTAACCGACTGCGCCACCCAGGCGCCCCTAAAAACATTTTTTAAACTTTTATTTATTTTTGAGAGAGACAGAGCACAAGGGGAGAGGGGCAGAGAGAGAGGGAGACACAGAATCCAAAGTAGACTCCAGGCTCTGAGCTGTCAGTGCAGAGCCTGATGTGGAGCTCGAACTCTCGGACTGGGAGATCATGATCTGAGCCAAAATCTGATGCTTAATCAACTGAGCCACCCAGGCACCCCTATTATTTCTTCTACGTTAGCATCTCACTGTATAGCTGTACTACAGTTTGTTTAAACGAGGTGTCTATTAATAGGTTAATGAGTTGATACTCTATTTACATTTTTTTCCTTGAAAGTCATTGTTTTTAGGGCAGATGTAATTGAACAAAGTTAGCACATATAGTATATTGATAGTGTAATATACTGGGAGTTTATTATATGTCTGGAACTTTTTAATGCATTGTTCTGTGGAAATTAGAATAATTCTATGCTGTAAGGAATTTATTATTGTCCGTATTCTCGAGATGCAGAAAGCCTCCAGGATCCTTGCATGCCATCATCTATAAGATGAACTGAAAGTCAGGGGTGACTGGAGCAGACATGTGAGAGCCCGTTAAATCCAGAGGAGCAGGGGTGCCTGGGTAGCTCAGTTGTGTCAGACTCTTCATTTTGGTTCAGGTCATGATCTCATGGCCATGAGATGGAGCCCCGCATTGGGCTCTGTGCTGACAGTGCAGGGCCTGCTTGGGATTCTGTCTTCCTCTCTCTCTGCCCTTCCCCCAGTCACGTACACACTTTCTGTTTCTCTCTCAAACATTAAAAATAAGAATAAAGAAAGAGGAGCTAAGCAAAAGGACAGCAGCCGTGTCAGCATAAGAGAAAACATAGCATAAGAGTTTAGAAACTCGTACTGGTGTCACTGATGTTAAAAATCCTTTCTGGTTGCCATAACAACTGGCTTCAAAAGACCTGCCATCTTAACCCCGTGACTGTGCCTTGAGGAATTGTGGCCATGACCACAGACTGCTTGGCACTTGTCTATCCCTCGCCTGCCTTCCGAATGCCTGTTGTGAATTTATCTGATACTCAGGGACTTTCCTCACATTTGTCTGTGATCCTCGTGTGCCTTGCTGAGCACCAGGAGATGTCAGCTGATGCTGAGATTCCCATCCGTGGCCAGTCCTCTTTGATGGCTTGTGCAGCTGCTTATTGTTTTTTACTGAAAACGGAAACTTTTAAGTTCTTGTCACTATTAGTCACTTACACTCTAAGATAGACTCTAAGGAAATTCTCCTGAGACTTAGAAGGTGTATTTCATATGCTTCAATGATTGCTGAATTGATCCTAAGTACAATAGATTAAGCTTTTAGAGGGGAAAAAAAAGTTTACTGCACAGTATATTTCTTTATAATTTGTCTGTCATGCCTAGAGAGAAGTGAAGCTTAAAATGCCACTAAAAGGGACTTGTTGGGGTTATTTATGGCAGTGTAACAAACCACTCCAAAACCAGATAGTCTAAAACAGCAATTTATCTCGTGACTCACTGAGTTGTCCAGGAGGTTCTGTTTTTTTGCGGTATCATCTGGATGCTGGGATGGCTGTGGTCCTCCGAGTCTTGGTTGGGGAGATCAGCTGGGACCCAGTGGCGGCTTAGGTTGCCTTGTGGTATCTGGGTTCCAAATGGAAGAAGAGGATGCTGCCCAAGCAGTTAAGGGCTAGGCCTACAACTGGCACTGCATCATTTTTGTCATTGTCTGATGGTTCAAGCAGTAATCGGCCCAGCCCAGAGTCCATGTGGGAAAGAACTCCACAAGGAGTGGATACCTACAAGGGTGGTTCATTGGAGGTGATCACCAGAACAGCAGTTTACTACAGGGCGCACTCTGGCCACTCACACACGTGCACACTGCACTCGCCCACACCCAAGACTCCCACAAGTCTTGCTCTATTGCTATGTTAGCTTGAGTCCAGGAGCTCATTCATGTCAGGTCCAGGTACAGATGAGGCTCTTTTGGTGCAGCTGTTCTCAACCAAATACCTGTGAACTAAAGGCACAAATTATTTGCTCTCCTCCCCTGACCCAACATGCAATGGCAAGGCAGGGACAGGAAAATTGCCACAGACGCTCCCCTTCAAAGAGGCATCAGAGGCTGTGGAGAAGTCACAATGATACACTGCTGGTGGAGATGTAAAATGATGCCATTGCTTTGGAAACAGTCTGGCAGTTCCACAAAAGGTTAAACATAGTTAGCATTTGACCTTTCCTAAGTGTATATCCAAGAGAAAACATATGTCCACCCAAAACTTGTACAGGAATATCACATAAGGTTATAATAGCCAAAAGGTGGAAACAACTCAAATATCTATCAACTGATGAACAGATACATGAAATGTAGTGTATCCGTACAATGGAATGAAGTACTGATACATATTGCAACGTGGATGAACCTTGAAAATGTGCTAGGTGCAAGAAGTGGGTCACGGAGACCACATAGTGTATGATTCCATCAATATGAAATGTCCAGAATGGACAAATCTATAAAGACAAAGTAGATTAGCAGCTTCTTAGAGCTGAGTATATGGGTGGGATGGGTATATGGGGATGATAACTAAAGAGTACAGGTTTCTTTTGAGGTAATGGAATTTTTTTTTAATTTTTTTTTTAACTTTTATTTATTTTTGAGACAGAGAGAGACAGAGCATGAACGGGGGAGGGGCAGAGAGAGGGAGACACAGAATCTGAAACAGGCTCCAGGCCCTGAGCTGTCAGCACAGAGCCCGACGCGGGGCTCGAACTCACGGACCGCGAGATCATGACCTGAGCCAAAGTCGGATGCTTAACCGACTGAGCCACCCAGGCACCCCGGTAATGGAATTTTTTAAAAGTAACTTGCTTGTATCTGTGAATATCCTAAAAACCTGAGTTGCAAACCTTGGGTAAATCATATGGTAGGTGAATTATATCTCAGTAATGCTGTTATTTTTTTTTTTTTTGAAAACACAGAACAGGGAAATGGGAGACACCTAGCCCTCCCTGGTCCACAGCGGTTCTAAAATCCAGCTAGGTAAATGTCAATGGTTTCGTGAAAAGTTTCTAACTGGGATGGTTCTTCGTGGCTCTGGTCTCTGCCCTCTAGGCTCTTGGTTATGTCCTCTGAATCTTACTTTTCCATAAGAAATGACTTATATTTGTAGCCTCTTCCTGTCTGAATAAGGGCCCTGGTATTTTTCATTTTGAAATGTCTCTTTAGTCCACACCAATGCTCTTTCCGTTGATATGTTTTTCGGAGTTTTTATGTGTATTCTCACAGATCTCTTTGGGTTCACAACATTACAAACCATTCCCACAAATCTCTTTGAGACAGGGGTCTACCTTGAACTGCCTTTAAGTCAGGGGTTATATGAAAATATCTTTAAGAGTCTTATGAGCTCTACTGTCTAGGAGAGATGGTTCTTAGAATCACACTGAAAATTCTTCAAAGCCTTTTGGTCTAGCTCTGTGATTTGCAAAGTGTGGTCTCTGTAGCATTAATATCACCTGGAGACTACAGAGGTCAGACCCCATTCCAGACCTGAAAATTGGGTGCAGCAGTCTGGGTTTTAACACCCATGCCTCAACCCCAGCTGAGTCTGGTGCACACAGAGTTTTAGAACCACTGGCCTAACATAGTCTATGAGGAACCAAGCACCTAACATCTTTGATAGCTCAAAAAAGGTTGAGGCCACATCTTACTGGCAACACAGGATTTGATTTTGGCCTTGAGCCATGTCTCACTTTGAGCTTACTTTGTGCTAAGATGCTGAAATGAGGAATGGTTTTATTTTGAACCCATCAAGTTTGGCTCCTCTATATTTCCTCTAAATTCTTCTTGAAAAGGAACCAAACGGTTCCTTTTTAGTTCATCTCACTACTCCTGTATTTTATCATAGGCAGCTAACATGAACCACTTAGTACTTTCAGCATTCTTGCTGAAATTCTCCATAGTCTGATGCATGAATCTGTTAGGTGCCCTTTCTGTTTCCGTGCTATTGCATGCTTTGGGTTTGCTAGTTATTCTGTCAGTGCAGGATGTAGACTCCCTCCCTTTCTTTAGCCACCAGCAGCATTTCTTCATGTTTTTCAGATCTTTATTAACTGTCTCCTAGAGACCCTTCTTGATTCTGCCCATCACTGAGACTCAAGCTGGCATAGATTTTAGGTTTTTGTTACAGTCCCACTTCTGGTACCAAATTTTGTTATCTATTGCTGCCTAACAAATCACCGTCAAATTTCATGGCTTAAAGCAACAACTATTTTCTTGCTCACAGCTTTGGGATCTGGCTGGGGTTTGGTAAGGATGGCTCCTTTCTGGCCCGTGTGCTGTTTGCTGGGACAGCGTGATTAGAGCTGGAAGATTTATTTCCAAGGTCGCTCGCTTACAGGGCTGGCAACTTGGTGTTGACTGTTGACTGTCAGCTGTGATCTTAGCTGGAGTTGTCAGCTGGACCTTCATTCTCTTCCATGGAGGCCTTTCTCATGCATGTGGCTCTTTGGACTTTCTCATAATGTGGCAGCTGGACTCCAAAAAGAAGGAAGCAGAAGTTGCCAGACCTCTTAAAGATTTAGCTCAGAGCTGGTGCAATGTCATTTCTGTTCTTTTCTGTTGGATGGAGTCATTCAAAGAGGTGATAAATGACCCTACCTCTTGGTATGAAAATAGTGGCAAAGAATTTGAGGCTGTCATCAACCCGCCCCAGTCTGTTAGGGATATATTTTGTTTGTTTGTTTGTTTGTTTGTTTGTAGTATTGGAAAGGCACTCTTGGCTTAAGTTATAAGTTGGTGAAAAGTAATTGTTAGTTGGAGAAAGTTTCAAGCTTTGGAAGGAGGCTAAGAGAAACATTTACATATAACTAGCCTCTCAACATTTGCGGAAATTTAATTTTTTTATTATTATTTAAAAATTTTACTTGTGTATGTGTGTTTTAATCAAAGCAGTGGGAAAACCTCATCAGATTTTTCTTTTTTTTTTTAAATTTAAGTTTTAACAGGAGTAGAATTCAATGTGTTTGTGGAAACTATATTTTTTTTAATGTTTATTTTGAGATAGAGTGCAAGTCAGGAAGGGGCATAGAGAGAGGGAGAGAGAAAATCCCAAGCAGGCTCTGCTTCTGTCAGCGTAGAGCCTGATGCGGGGCCTGAACCCACAAACTGAGATCACAACCTGAGCCGAAACCAAGAGTCGGACGTTCAACTGACTAAACCACCCAGGCACCCCTGTGGAGATTTTAAATGTTGTATTTCACTGGTTGACAAAAGTCATTTTTTTTTCCATGGAATTAAACTCATTAACAGAATATAGTCTTTAGCACTTGGGTTATGCCAAGATTTGCATGTGACAGGGATGTCTGAATGCATTTATATATTTTAATTGGTCTGAAAATTGAGCTAGTTATTTTTGGTAAAGGTTGTCTTATATATTACCAAAGGTAGAGAAATAACCCCTTTCTATAGACTTTCCTCCCTAGAGTCAGGACTAAATGCTATTCAGGAGTTGTGAACAATGAAAGGCAAACTCACTGCATTGTAGAAATGATTGTGGTAAAGGCAGAAGTGAATAGTGGGGGGGAAAGAATTCCCAAGATTTTCTACCATTTGGAGCTTTTGCAGCTGTTTCCAGATTGGTAAGAGAGGACAAGACCGATGGCAGAAACTCCCTCTGGTCCTGCTTATTCACCCAAATTATGTATGAAGTTTGCTCATACAGGCTCATAAGTGGCTTCCTGAATGTGTAAAGCACTTATGTTAGTAAATTTTTCTCTATCCACATTGGAACTCCATCAAAAAAAAAAAAAAAATCAGACTTAGTGCTTTATTACAATAGTGATTCAACAGAGTTTAAATACGGCTTACAGGCATATTTTAAAATTAATAGAATCTGACTGGTATTAAATCTTTGACCTTTAGTTCCTATTTTTACTTAGAATTGAACATTTGATTGAATGCTTTTGGTTTGGGTTATAATCTTTTTTTTTTTAATGTTTATTTATTTTGAAAGAGAGATTGAGTGAGCGAGTGGAGAAGGCAGAGAGAGAGTGTGAGAGGGAATCCCAAGCAGTCTCCATGCTCAGTACAGAACCCAACACCAGGCTCAATCTCACAACCGTGAGATCATGACCTGAGCCGAAATCGAGAGTTGGATTCGCTTAACCCACTGAGCCACCCACACACCTCTGGTTTGGGTTGTACATTATCTTAATAATACTGATAAGATATTGTTAAACATAAGTTGAATATTTTTTCTCTAATTTGATCATTTGTAAAAATGGGGCAGCATTACTTTCCCTTACTTTTAGTTTTTCACTCTCCTGCATGTAAGTAGTTGTCAAGTTGACTAGTAATGTACTTCCTCCTTTTTTGTTCTTTCCTTGATTCGTCTCTTTATGTTTTTCTTCCTTACTCTCCTCATACCCTACCAAGTCTGGTGGAGTGACCTATTCAGGAGGGAAATTATGGATAGTATGGATAAGATGACATGATACATGTGTTTAGAAGAATCCTTCTAGATGCCATTGTCAAACTTCCCTGGCATGATGCTCATGACCAACAGTTTAGAAGATGATAACATGCACATGTAATGCACAGGTTTGATACATAGAAGAAATATAATCAAAAAAGGGAAAAAGTGCTGCATATAACTAGAGGGTATGTAACTCTATCCTTTAAGTTTCCAATCTGTCCTTTTTACAGTTTTACTTGCAAAATTCCCTGTGGTGCCTTTTTATTTCTTTGTAAATTATGTGAAGCCAGCCTTTCAGCAAAATCTGCTTATTTGCCCCAAATAAATGTGTTTATGCGATTCCTGATTTTTAATTTTAGTTACTCCAGATCTCTTTGATTTCCAAAACCTGTTTGGCCTATCACTTTTTATTTTGGTAGCATTTATAAGCTATTTCTGGGTCATTGTTTGGGTTGTTTTTAAAAGATATACCCATGAAAACTACAAAGTGCTGATGACAGAAATAAAAGAAAGAAGTAAAAATCTAAGACATATTGTGTTCGTGGATTGGAAGACTCTTAATAAAGATGACAGTTCTCCCAATTGCTGTATATAGGTTTAATACAGTTCCTGTTAAAATTCTAGCAAGATTTTTTATGGGTGTAGATAAGATTATCCTAAAAATTTACATGGAAAGGCAAAGTAACCAAAACAGCTAAAAAATTAAAATTAAAAAACAAAACAGTTTGAGAAGGAAGCATAATGCAGGGAGAATCACTCTAAGACATTATGTAGCTACAGTAATCAAGACTGGTATTGTCAGAGTAAGAAACAAATAGGTCAGTGCGACAGAATTGAAAACCCAGAATTAGCCCCACACAAGTAGGGGGCTTTTGCCAAAGGTGCAAAAGTAATACAGTGTGTCTTTTAAACAAATAATATTAGAGCAATTGGATATCTATGGAAAAAAAAATAACTTCAACCTAAACCTTAGACTATATATGTGAATTAACTCAAAATAAGTCATTAATTTAAACGTAAGACATAAAACTGTAAACTATTTAAAAATTTTTTTAAACAATGTGTGTCTATTTTTGAGAGAGAGAGAGACAGAGCGTGAGTGGGGAGGGGCAG